CCCTCTCTCTTTCTCTCTCTATCTCTTTCTTTCTCTCTCTCTTTCACTCTTTCTCTTTCACTCTCTTTCTTTTTCACTCTCTCTCTTTCTCTCTCACTCTCTCTCTTTCTCTCTCACTCTCTCTCTTTCTCTCTCTCTCTCTCTCTCTCTCTCTCTCTCTTTCTCTTTCTCTTTCTCTCTCTCTTTCCCCCTCCCTTCTCTCTCTCTTTCCTTTCCCCCTCCCTTCTCTCTCTCTTTCCCCCTCCATTCTCTCTCTCTTTCCCCCTCCATTCTCTCTCTCTTTCCCCCTCCCTTCTCTCTCTCTTTCCCCCTCCCTTCTCTCTCTCTTTCCCCCTCCCTTCTCTCTCTCTTCCCCCCTCCCTTCTCTCTCTCTTTCCCCCTCCCTTCTCTCTCTCTCTTTCCCTCTCTCTCTCTCTCTCTCTCCTCTCTCTCTCTCTCTCCTCTCTCTCTCTCTCTCTCTCTTTCCCTCTCTCTCTCTCTCTCTCTCTCCCTCTCCCTCTCTTGCTCTTTCTTTTTTCTCAGAGGAAGCGCTTCTAGACGCAAAACCGGTGTAACACCTTTTCTGTCACGCTGTCTCAAGGCTAGGCACACTAGCGAGAAGGACATCATGTATCATAATGCAGATTTTGTTTTATTCTATTCTTCTCTTAGGTGCATAAGGTAACAGTGAATACACGAAGTAGGTAAAGAGGTAGAGAGAGAAAGGAGGGAAGGAAGGAGGAAGAAAATACGATGGATAGAGAAGGAAGGAGTAATGAGCAAAGGAACGTGATGGAGATAAGAGGAAGAGGGGGGAAGGAAGGTTCCAGAGTAAAGCTTGGGAGAAAGGATGGGGAGAGAGAGAGAACGGGATAGAAAGTGCAGACACCTCACGTCCGTTCTGCAGATACTAAGAGATGCAGAATATAAACACAATTATTAATTTCCTCCAAATAATGGACGAAGCGGAAATTAGCCGGGAATGGGAAGGATGGAAAAACGGAATGCAAGAATTATCCTTTCTCCTCATTCTCCTTCTAAAAGACAACTCCAACTTCCCTTCCCACGTCTCACAGCCCACTATTTCTCCTATTCCTACGGCCCCTTTCCCCACTCCCTCCCATTCCCTCCGCTTACACAACTCTCCCCCACCTCAGTCCTCTTCTCCTTTCCTCCCACAACCCCCTCCTCCTCCCTACCCCCTCACAGTCCCCTTCTCCTCCTCCTCTCCTACTCCCTCCTACTTTCTACTCACAACCCCCTCCTCCTCCATTCCCACCTTCTCTCTTTGCCTCTTCACAACCCCCCCCCTTTCCTCCCCCTCTTAGCGGGCCCCCACCCCCAACCTCTCTGCCCTTCAAGGTTTCCCAGAGGAGGGGTTATGTGAATATCCTGTCCACACTAGCTAGTGCACGTGTCCGCACTCACCCTAGCCGGGAGCCTGTCACGTGTCAGCTGATCGGTGGGGGTGCGGGGAGGAGGGGAAATGTGGAGGGTATGCTGGCTTGGATTGGCTTCATATCGTTTGTGAAGGGAAATGGTGGGGGAGGCTGGGGGACCTCGGTTGTGGTTGGTGCGTGTGAAGGTGAGACAGTGTGATTTGATATTTTTCTGGTAATTGGTTGTGATAGTGTTTGGACCAAGGGGATTGAGGGATAGCTGTTGCGGTTGTGAGATAGATTGCATGATAGATGGAATTGGCGTGGACAAATGAGGGCAGACAGTGTTGGTTGGAGGAAGGCGTAGATCCTCAAATTATATAAGACTGGGAAAAGACATGATTGTTTTTGACTGTGGTTGATTGCGGTAAGAGAGGATAGTTACTTTGTGGTTCTGCTCATATTACGGAGAAAACTGATAATGGAAATTTGTCGTGGCAGTTATTTGACAATAGGAGAGAGAGAGAGAGAGAAAGAGAGAGAGAGAGAGAGAGAGAGAGAGAGAGGCGAAAAACTAGTTTTAAGAAATCTTTGAAATCACCTGGAGAGTGTCTTCTGTTGATGTTAGTGGCAGTATATCAATTTCCAGGTATAGGATTCCTAGGATTTATCATTAACCACGTTAAACAGGATAGGGAAGGAGGTGGAGGAATAGGAGGAGGTGGTGGAAGAGAATATTGCGATGAAAGAAGGTATAGGAAACGGTGAATAACGGTTTTAATATGTTAATTCCACACTGCTGTTAATAGCAGACATTTTTTTTGTATTGTAAATGTTAACATAAAGTGCATAAGACTGATTTCTGGAAAATCAGGAATACAAAGATAAGGAAAACAGTTGAAACGAGAGACTGAAAAGTGACTAAAGGAAATGAAACTAGCAAATAATAATAATAATAATAATAATAAATTATAATACACAAAAGAAAAAAAAAGAATAACAAAAGGAAGAAAACAGTACAAAATATGAAAGGTCCTTGCTCTCATCAGATCTAGGTGATTGTTCGGAATGTGTGTCGAGTGTCATATGCAAAATAGGCATGTTGAGCAAGGAACTGCTTCACTTTCATAATTAATTCGCAT